ATATCAATATCCCATACTCATTTTTTTCTTTAATTAGTTCAAGATTTGATTAACCTACCAAGACTTTCCTTGCATATCCATAGATAGTTAAATCCAAAGTTTTAGGGTTTTGGTTAGTTTGGTGATTGAATTTAATTATAATTAAAGCAAGTATGCATGCATATAAACATAGTAGTATATCTTTTGCACACTTTCTTAATTAAACTTGACATTGGACCACTTTAATGTTGAGGAAATATAATGCAAAAAACTTATAGGTTTAGGGGTTTTTTTCTAGATTTTTTTTTTGGTGGAATTTGAACAAAGTATAAACAAGAGTTGAGATTATGGATGAACATGTTAAGACTTTGGGACATTGGTGGGTGATAAAGGCAATGAATGCTGCTCACCAAATAAGGAGGCCATTAATGCTTTTTAAAAGTAGTGACTTCATAACATAAGGTATATTGTATTTTTTTTATCAAATTTGAGAACAGATAATTCATGAATCACGAAAATCTTTTTATAAATATTAATATGGAATTAATTGTTTTAGTACGTAAAATTCATATTGTTACGGGTTTTTTTATAAAAAGATTGTAATTTGATGCATGCGGAATTATCATACTTACGATCAATTATATCGTATTAAATGTAAAAATAATTTAAATAAAAATAACAAAATCTAAAAAGTCTTAGGCATTTAGCTTAGTTGTCTCTCTTGTTTATCAAATAACCTTTGACAAGAACGATGTTGGGTTTTTGAACCTTCATTATCAGCACCAGTGTTTTAATGCTTATAATAAATGGGCAGTGACTGATGTTGAAGTAATTAAACTAACTGGCCTTGGACCATTAATGATTAAACTACTTTTAGTGACATTAAATGCTTGTCTGAACAGTACAGTGTCTTGATTGGGCTGCCTCCACAGACCATTAGACTAGGCCAAGCCCAAGTCTTCAATATTGATGAGAATCATAGCCTTTTTTTGCCAATTTGATCGTTCTACTTTCAAATTTGTCCTAGAATCTCTAGTTAAAATCATCATTGTCTTTAAACAAAATGTTTAATCTTATTCAATTTCAATCACCTTTTGCACCATATGAAAAAAATATATTAAAATTACATCAAATTAACATAATCGCAAGAATTCATTTTGCTTTTGAATTCATAATTTGTATATATTTTCGAAAAAAAAAGTTAATTTTACGTCAATGATTTATAAACAATAACTTTTTTAAGTAAAAAAAGTGAAATGCAGACTTCATTGGAAAAACATTGGTTGCCTTTTGGCATGAGTTTTATGAAGCAAAAATGTACAACATTTTTGTAATTAGTCTAAATTTACAAGTGATAGCTTACAAGTTACAAATACTTACACAATGACTCTTCAAAATAGCCAAAACTTTACCACCACCAAATAACCAAATGATTTGGGTTTACTAGTTCATATCTAACATTCTTTACTTCAACATGATATTTGACCTTAGTTTATTGCTACATATATATATCTAATATTAACCTTATTTCCATTCATTCACCATGCACCCGGTCCACTTCGACATCGGCATTGACCCAAACTTGACATCGATCCGACCTGACATCGGCATCGACCTAACATCGATCTCGACTTGACGACATTGACCTCTTTAAGTTTGGAAGTGAGACATTGTGAAATTGAATTAAATATGGGCAGCAAATGTACTACTTATTTTGTGATAAAGGTTAAAGAGAGGCAAAAAAGTAAAATTATATAGTATTTAATGTTATCTAGTGATAAAGTTTAAAGCTGTGCAAACCTCACTAGGAAGACAACTTTCAGTTTCTTAATTTGTCATTTTGTTAAGGAACTTTAGACTCAGTAAAATCTCTTTAATAAAGGGAAAAAAATCCACACAAAATCATCACCATGCCCAAAAGTCAAATCTTCAATTTCTATTTAATGCACTGTTCTATATATTACATACCGTGAATCAAATATTACTGTCTTGTTATTAAAATAGATTTAAAAATTAAAAGCTTTAAAAAACTCATTAAAAAATTTGAATGAATTCATTTTAATTAATTTATTATTTATTAGTTTGACAGAGAAAGCAGAGTTAAAAAAGTCTTAAATTGCCACTAAGTATGGTATGAAAGGGATAACACGCTTCTTGGTCTGTCTTCCATTTCTTGGACGATCGTCACTGATGTGGGTCACCACATCAAAATCTTCTTCTTCCATTTCCTCATCATTGTTTTTTTTCTGATTTGGAGTCAAATGTATTAGGCTACAAAAATAGACCTTAACCTCCACTCCCCCAATAATCACAAGCCACGTTAATGGAGTTGCTTACGTGTCAGAAAGAGAAAACATGGAAATCCGATTGCAAGATGTGTTCATCCGCAGTGGATCAAACCTCCTCATGGCCCTTAAATTCACCACTGTCGACGTGGCGTCTACCCGCCATCTTGCATCGACAAGTCGTTGGGTGAGACCAGACAGAACAGAACAGTCAACTCTTCGGACATTAAACCCCTCAAACACCCCTTCCTTTCCAAACTTTTAACGCCAGACTGCAGAAACAACAACCCCATCACCACCGCTCTTACGAAAACACTACCGTCGCCGGTCATGGGGTTCACCACCTGGGCCCCATCACCATCCCCGACTCCTTCCCCTTCTCCCTCGTCATCACCGCCGCCCTCTTCATCGTCATCTACGTCGTCGTCATCGTCATCATCGTCATCACCACCGCCTTCGAAGCTTCCAGTAGACTTCAGCCCACCGTTGATCGCCATGGTGGTGGTAGTCGCGGCAGCGTTTTTAATAGTTACATATTCACGTCTCATCTCTAAACGACTCGTCCCTCCAATCCTCCGCCTCCTCCGCTTCTTTCGACGTCGTCGCCGTCGTCGTTACCTCCCATCCACCACTACCGACCTCGACTCTCTTCCACCCTCCGATCCATTCGAACTCCCTCTTTCTCCTTATGGCCTCGATGACTCCGCCATCAAAACCCTGCCTCTTTCCCTCTACACTTCGAAAACAAAACCCCATAACAGCCCCAAAGACTGTGCCGTTTGCTTGTTGGAGTTCGAAGACGATGAATACGTCCGAACACTTCCCGTTTGCTCCCATGCCTTCCACGTTGATTGCATCGACGTTTGGTTAAAGTCACATGCTAATTGCCCGCTTTGTAGAGCTGGAATCTTCGCTACAGAATCTCCTTTTACTCCGTTAATGGCAGCCAGAATCCGTCCGAGCCTCGACGACACCGTTTTACTGAACAGCACTCTCGATTCCCTAACGGAAACTCCTTTCCAGCCTCTTCCGAATAACACCATAACGGAAATAACCGAAGAGCCGTCACCAAGAAGAGCGAATGGGAATAGTAATTGTGAGGAAAGGTATAATTTTGTTTTGAAAAGGTCGTATTCGTTTGGTTTCGAGAGGAGTTTAGCAGCAGAGAGGATGGTAACGGAGCCCAACACGGCGTCGCCTTGGAGGTATAGGAGAGGAGGGAACGGGTTTTGGAGCAAACGGGCGTCGCCCTTTGGGTCGTTAATGACGAAACCGAGGGTTTTCTCTTTTAGGTATTACAGAGGGATGAAAGCTTCACCATTTTTTCGACGGAGAGGGTTTTTCCCGTTGTCGGAATCAAGTGTCAGATTTAGTGGAAGTGGCGGCGGCGGCGGGTCGTCGAGGAGAACCAAGTCAATGGCGAGTCCCATGTTTTTAAGGTCAGCGGCTTCCAGTGTGGCGGCTTTTTCATCGAGTCGGCTCAGGTGCGGGGATCCCGAGGCACTGCTGTCACCGGAGAGGTTCAACAGAAGATAAAAAAACAGGAAAAAGAAAGAGAAAACTCTTTCCGAGGAAAGAAATGAAAAAGTCAGTGGGACACGTGGAATGTTGGATCGAGAGATCGACGGGAAAGGGGTGGTAGGAGATTGGGGTCCGGTGACATTAATGGGAAACTCGCATGCAAAGCAGAGTTAATGCATGAGAGAGAGACAGAGAGAGAGGGCGAGAGAGAAGGGCTGGTTCTGGCTATCGAGTGAAAAAAGGGGAAGCATTAATGGGAAGTGGGGAGAGGCATTAAATGAGAAAGTTGACGAGAGATAGACACGATTTTCCGAGCTTTCTCTTTCTCTTTCTCTTTCTCTTCTCCAAGCTAAAGGCCTTAGCTACAAAGAAAAAAAAACAAACAACAAAGAAAAAGAGCTCATAAATGCTGAGAGGTTGAGACTTCAGATGCTTCATGGAAGAAAAGGGTTCTCGTATATGGGACTGCTGCTGGTTTGGGTTGGGTTTGGTTTGATTTGGTGTTTTCCTCTTTGTCTTGCTACCGACAGAAGTCCATGTTGGGATGCGAACATGGTCATTTTTTTTTATACAACCCGGATCATGTGCTTGCCATGTGGGCATGGACCGCACCCATCTGGTTTTATTTATTGATTGATGGAAAGGGAAGGAGGGGAAAACAATGGCAGAGAGAGAGAGAAAGTAATGAGGCAGTGTAGTCACTTCTTCTCTTGTTCTGCTCATTTATCAGGGGTGGTTCATTTTGTCCAGTCAATTTGGTTTGGTCACTTCTTTGAATTCAATGCAGATTATACTGGGAATCGGAGACATTAATTTTGGCTTTCCATGCCTCTCTTCCATTGCTTTCCCTTTTGTATATACACACCACATCTGTTTCTCCTCTTTGTTCATGCATATTTCTACTTATAATGTCATTGTTCTACTCTTGAAAGACACGTCCAGTTCGCAGAATAGAGATAAAGATGTAAAAGACATAAAACAATCATTTGGCGAGTACAGAGCATATAAAAAATTAATTATTTTATGAAGCAATTTGATTTATAGAATGGAAAAGAAACAAAATAGTATTAGGGTATGTAAAGAATAAGTAGAAAATATCTTTTCTATATTAGGTTTTGTCATTGTTTCCCATGACACATTTCATTCGCAAAATAAAAATATAAATAAATTAAAAATTCAGTCTATGATAATATAAGAAGAGTAGTTCTTTTATAATTTGATTTTATGAAATGATACATTTTATACATTTAGTTAATCAAAAACAAGTAAAATATGGGTATGGGATAAGTACAAAAATGCCTTTTGTACACGAAAAACATTGTACGGTCTACTTAGAATTGTTCATTTAACTATTGGTAAAAGATGAAAAATTAAAAAAAAAAGAAAAAGAAAAATAAAATAATAGGGGGACAGGGACCTCATTGACCACGCACGTGTTTGGTCAAGAGATCCAAAGAGGCACGTGCCACAACGCTTTCCCCTTGAAAATGGCCCCAAACGCTAAACCCATCCCTTAAACCCTCCAGATTGGAAAGTCGAACCAGAAAAAGCAAGACGCGGCTAGGGTTTCAGGTTCTGTCTCCGTCGACCCAGACTCGAATAGAAAGCCAAGGGAAATCAAATCGTAGCAGCGATGTTCCCAGGAATGTTCATGCGCAAACCAGACAAGGCGGCGGCCTTGAAGCAGCTGAAGGCACACGTGGCTATGTTTGGGGTGTGGGTAGCTGTGGTTCGTGTCTCTCCCTACATTCTTCATTACCTCTCTGATGACAAGGAAGAGCTCAAGCTCGAGTTCTAGATGCCCCTCTCTCTTTCTTTTCAGGTAATTTAAACACTTGGATTTTATTTTTGTCACCAATAATTTTTCTTGTACTAGGACTAGTTTTGGGAACTGGGTATTTTTTGTCATGTGGATTTTGACAGATAAGAATTATTATATCTGGGTTGAATGCCAATTTTTGAAATTCTTTTGTGTGTGAAATCACTGGAATGTAGTTTATTGTAACTAGCAAAGCAACAACCAAACACAGCCTTTAGTATTTGTATGCTCAAGACATGTTCAGGGAGATTATTTATCTAAGGAGTGATGGCAATGATATGAGAGGTTTTAGACTTGGCTAATTGGATGTAACTGAAAGTTTCTGTAAATAGTTATATTCAGGAAGGCGATGAAATTTTGGAATATTGATTAGGAATTCATTCTGTGAATGGAGTGTAAAAGCATCCTCTTTGTCCATAGGAAATGATTTCGGAAAGATATATAGTAATTTGGGAGGAGGATGCCTTGTCATTGTGGTTTGAGGTGGACTACCCTCCCTGGTGGGGACCTTTTAATTTTCCTTAATGTCATTTTTATTAAATGTTGGAAGCAGATTCATTGGCTTGGGATGGTTTTTTTTATTAACAACGTTTTTGGATTGTGTTATAGTAGCACGGAAAGTCATTCTTCCTATCCATTTGCTTAATACTGTTCCTTAGTGCCTTTCCCTTGGCGAATAAGAGTAGAAATGTAGAATGACATATACATGACTGATTATTTTGCCAAACTTGCATAGCTGTAAATACACCCTATTTGGTTGCTCAGTTTTTCATGGTTTTTTAGAACTTTCTTTGTTTCTTTTTGTTCCAAAAAGATATCATTTGTTAAAGCTAGTTGCTTTGTCTTCAGTTTCCATGTTGTCAGGAAATTATGTAATGTGCTATTTTTTGTATATGATGCCTTGCCATTGTTGTTGACAACTTTTATGGTTGCAATTCAAATAGACACTGTTGTTTCATTTTTCTTTGTGATCTTGCATAGGATTATGAGAACAAGTGCACCTTCAGGTTATAGCTTGTAAATTGCATATAGCTGCATTAGTGGTTGAGAAAACAGATTGCTTCATATGGTAACTATGGGAATCATGTAGTAGCCACATCCTGCCTTTTATCTTGTTTTGTTACTTATCATGGTGATGCCACTAGCTAGTGGAAGACACTTTAGTTGTCTTTTATATGATGGATTATTGTTAAAGTAGTCATTTTAGCTCTTAGCTAGCATGTCTCCCTTATTCACTTTACTGTGGTTTTGTTTTATCTTGTTTGTTGCTGATGTTTCCTTCTTTTGTGGTGCAGTGGGTCTACAGGGAGAGAATTGGATTGGGATGCAAAAGAGTTTCAAGCACTTGATTCCTTTTCAGCCTGCTTAAGTATGAGACTGTGGTGTTATCACATTAGGTTATATTTGCATTTGCTTTGATCATGCTTATTAGATTTTTTTTTGTAATGGAGGCTGGAATACTTCCATATTATGTCATGACGGTTATATCTAATTGAATATACTTTTGAATTTCTTGCTTGTAGCATAGGAAGATGATATATCGCCATTGCCATAATTGCCTTTGGCTGGAAAAATTGGAAAATTTCTTCTTCTCCTTTACCCTTCCCTCAAATTATTGAAAAACCTATGATTTTGTTTTATTCCTTCCTTGGCTTTTTGCGTGAGGGAATTAATTGCCAAATTTGTTCGGGGAAAAATACAAAAAACGAGGTAGGGACTGGGGATTAGATCTGATAATAGAATAGCAGCTACTCAGAAACATATCATATGCAGCTGCTTGGTTTTCTGAACCTTTGGTTGAGCCTTCTGCTGCGATGTCCTCGTCGAAATTTATCTGGTTATCTGTTAGCATTTAACTTTTGAAAGTGATAGCACTTGATGATGCAGTAATGGATCAAATTTGTAGAGACTAAGGTGACCCGACCAACAGATAATGCTAATAAATAGAATTTGGATGCTTCAGCTTGCCATTGCACCTTTAAATTCCTGCATTTACTTACTTTAGTACCAATTTTTTGTTTTGTTTAGAAGGAGATTCGAATCTTGTTTGTTGAGTAATCAAACACATTTTGTATCGGTCTTGTGTTCAGAACTTTTAATGAATTTTCTACTGGGAAGTTTGAGAATCTCCAAAATTGGGCTTAGAGATATGCCATGCAAGGCTATCTGCATTGAGCTCTCGATCAGCAAGTTCTTGCCGAGAGGTACTAATGTAGAATGTTGCTAGTTATAAGTAACCTATTCATATAGCAAGACATGGGACGTCTGCCATCAACAATGTAAGAGAAAAGGGGATCTCCAACTGCAACCTTAACATTTGATTTTGCTTTAGAAGGGGGGTGGCAATGGCATCAGCTTTTCCCACTAACAAGGGAGTCTGTAAAGCTATGACATGTGGATAGTCCACAACCCCTCATTTAAAAGCATCGGCTCACCTTGTTCCTCCAGTCCTAAGCACATTATTTCCACTAGGATTTCACCTTTCGTTATTATAGATTTCCTAATGCTCTTGGCCTTGACAAAAGTAGCTGCTTTTGGCCCCAATCTCATGATGCTCCCATTTTCCTACCAACCATAGAATAAGAATTAGGAAAGAATAAATAGTTGTCAAAATGTACTTATCTTCCTTTTGAACATAATTTTCTTTTTCTTTTTGATATGAGAATGGGGGAATCGTAAATTTAAGCTATGATGGTCACCTCCTTTCTAGTGAATAGACACAACACAGTTATGACACAGTGACAGTTTGAAAATAACAAAACTACAAATTTCACCGAGAATAATCTCTCCTCCCAGTCTCAATTGTGAGGCTTGAGCACGAGAACGTGCCAGCCAATAGAACAAACAGAACCCCCAGCGTCAAATTCAGCATAATTAAAGCAACACAAAAGGCAAAGCTTTCCATAATAGTCCAAAACTCCTCACTCTGAAACCTTGCCGGGGGACTTCAACAACTTTCTTGTTCTCTCTTTGATAAGCAAATCTGCATTCTTAGTTTCTTTGATTTCATGCAAGGAGATTAGCAAGGCGAAGAATGTTGTGCCAGTGTTGGGTATGGTGGGATCACATGCATCATCATTGATCGTACATCCGTTGTTGTATTGGACTTTTTTGGATTGATTTAGATGACAAATTCGGTGCTAAGATGAGCGAGAGAATTTTCCCAGATATCAAAGAAGAAGAAGAAGAAGAAGGTTCGATGCAACAAGGCCATGAATGAGGTACCTGGCTCTGTGGGCACTAGTGCTGGCTTTTCTCTGAGATTGGCACAGACCCTTTTTTCTTCCGCTTCTCTTCTCTTCATGTCTTTGGGAGTTGAGTTCTACAGCTACACTGCTTTCTGGTATGTCCCTAGTTTCATTTCTTCTGCTTGTTTGATATGATTTCGTGGCTCTTTACTTTTGTATTTGTACCCAGTGATCATCCCATGTACATATCTTTGACCCAATCAGCAACGAAAAATTATGCGTAACACCTGCCTTTGATTCCCCTATGAATTCTATATTTACTGAATACCTGTCGCTCAAGACAAAATTTGGGTTTCCATGGATTCTGAAGTAGAATTATCCTCTCTTAAATTTAACCCTGATCTATTACAAATAGCAATTAGATTCTGTAGATTCTCCTCCCACAATGTGAAAGAAACTGTTTATTGTCAGTTTGTAATTCCATAGATGGACGCTGATTATCTTTTGAATGGTCCAAGTTTGAGCTAATCTATCTATAAGTTTTTGTCAGAAAACGAGACATCACTTTTGCCGCAGGTGACCTATCATTGTATCAAGTCTACGAACCAAAACAAAGTGACCAATGTACATATTCCTTGCTTATGATCCTTCCTTTTCATACCCTACTGGCTGGGTGTTGTTGCAATCAGCTTGTCGACATGGTTGACAATTTGTTAGTTTGTACGTGTTGATTAACGTTTAACATTTAAACCAATCTATAACCCTGTTAGTATCTTTTTCCATTTCCTTCTGAATCAAACAATACCAGGAATTTCTTGGTAACTGTTGTTATGTAGAGTTCTTTTGATTGTCAGTACCAACGTTAACATTTCAGCTATTTGGTAACAATCATGGGCTTGGTCATTCCATGGAGTTTCACTTTGGCGTTGGTTGATGGGTACTCTGTTCTGGTCAAATGCCCTGTTCGTCAGCCTGGAATATTGCTCATAATTGCTGCGGGAGACTGGGTATGTGATACTGTATTTGTTGGAAGCTATTTGAATGAGTTAATACCGCTGAATTGTTTTCCATGACAGGTGTTATCAGTTCTCACACTAGCCGCAGCATGCTCCACGGCTAGCGTTGTGGATCTCCTCCACTCTGGCGGGCCCTATTGCCCGCCAAAGTGTTGCAGTAGATATCAACTGTCTGCCGCCATGGCTTTTCTCACTTGGTTTCTGTCTTTGGCTTCGACTCTTCTCAATCTCTGGGTGCTTCCCTCCTTATAATTCTCGGTTGGGGTATTTGTTGTCTAACAGTTTGCAGCATTTCAGTTTTGCACCCAATGCTTCTATGGACTTGAGCTGATCCTTTCATGGGGTTGGTTGTGCGGTTGTGATGGAAAAACTGAAAAAGTTTAGCTAGATTATCTGAATTTTGGACCATAAAGAGACGTGCTCAAGGGTTTGGCTTTTCCATCATGTGCAGGGATGCTCTAATTTTCCCAGCATTACAGCTCAGATGTCCTGCTGCTGCAATGCCTCTTATATTGCTGGAGACAACAGACAGATGAGATAAAAGATAGCTTACAACCATGTAATTTTCGAAACTGTATTCGCATAATTCCAATGAAGCTTTAACTGAGAAATGAAAGAAAAACCTCGTATTCAGTTTGGCAAACGATAGGGACAGTCTAACGATGATACACTGCATTTTGTGGACACACTCATCAAGCACAATAACTGACTCTAAGTCCAACTCACTAAAATCTTTCAAAATTTTATCATAGGAAGATACTGTCATCCCCTGAACATCAAGTTGAGGCATACAAGGTTGTGAAACACGAAATAAATAATTCTAGTAAAAAGGATAATATCCACCTGGGTGCCTTCCACTTGTCTGGAGCAATTTGTTTCTATCACCCTTGCTCCTCTCTTCAGCAGGCACCGTGAGCTGCTCATATATACAGCCGGTTTACAGAAACATGTCGGGAGGTTTAAGCACCATCAAACATATAGTTGATAACACAACCTGTTCAATGCCAAGAAATTACACCATTATTTGTCATCAAGTGACATTTCGTTCGGTTTAAATTAAAGATATCAAACAGAATTCTTTCTGTAAAAGAGGAGTAAGTACCTATAAAAAGTAACCTTACTAACATATTCATGATTTGATGAAATTAGACTACCGGCGGATAAACCTACAATTATGCAGGGGAAATATAATGAATGGAAATGTTACTAGAGCTAGAAAAACACAAAAGATCTACTTGTACAATAATTTCAAAGATCATAGTAATCAGAGAAAGAGAGTGATGCAAGACGTACTAATAAATGAATAATTTGATTCCCTGGAGAACTGCATCGCTCTAGAACTGCACCCTCTTCCAAAGTGAGCTCTTCCCCTTGCACTTTCATTCAAGATTGTCACAAATTAATCTGATCAAATTTCAGAAACAAAATGGGGAAGCTTAGATTTCTATACTTCTTGCTGTAATAAACAAAGCTCAGCATTAATGATACAAGTCATAGAACTACTAGAAACCCAAACTCAAGCCTCACAGTTTCACTCTGATAACCATGAGGATATTATGTAGATGGTATACTTATATTGATTGCTTTTATTACTTCAAATACAGTTTGTAAATTTTAATATCAGTTCAGATCCGTCTGCATCTTAAAGACCACATTGCTAAGAATTTAACAAACAAGTTGTATAAATTTGTTCTATTACTGAATGTAACAGAGGGCCATCATTAAAGTTGACTATACCTTTTTGTGCAAAGAAGATATCTGCCTTTACACAGGACCAAATTTTTTACGCATCCTCCCCAGAAATTGACCTGCGTTATCTAAAATGAATCTTAATAAAGCGTAGACAATCACTGTCTTGTACCAAAAGGACAAATAAGATGTTAATCTCAAGAACAACTTACCATCAGTATTCAAGCTTGTCAGGAAAACCACCACTGCTCAACAGGTCTGCTCCCACTTGTCACAAATAGACATCTAATTCTTTTCCTGCTCTTTTTGAGTTTCTATCACCTCCTTTCTCAGCATTGTTTCCATTTCCTTGTTTCCTTGTCTTAAATAACCGTCAATAAAAGCTTCATATATCTCCGGATCTGGCTTAAACCCTTTCCCCACCATCTCAGCTTGAAGCTTTAATGCTTCTTCCATTTTTTTCTCCTCACACAAACCTTTTATCAGAAGCACATAACTTTTCCCTGACAGATAAACACCAAGTTCTCTCACTGCCACCCTCATTGTCTCCAAAGCTTCAAGGACCCTACGTTTGTCACAAAGTCCTCTAACCAATGCTTCAACAGTTAAACCCTGTGGTTTAAAACCTTTCCTACACATGTCCTTATATATCAACATTGCTGAATAAATATCCGCAACTTTACAATATCCATCAATAAGATTCTCATAAGTAACACAGGTAGCCTGTATCCCAATCAATCCCATTTCTCTATACAACTCCTCAGCTCTTATAATCTCTCCATGTTTACAAAACCCACCAATCATAGTATTATAAGCCACAATATCAGGCTCCAATCCCTTAACTCTCATTTCCTCCCATAATTCCTCTGCTTCTCTCACCTTTCCTTCCTCACATAATGCTGCCATCAAAATACTATAACTATAACCATTCGCTGCACACCCTAAACTCTCCATTTCACTCCAAACCTCCTCCACTTTCTCCAACAACCCTTCACGATAAAAACATAGCATCAAAGCATTAAAAGTATGCACATTTGGCCGAACCTTTAAAACCCTTTTTACGTTAGTTTCTCTCTCACCATTCCCTACTCCAAAAACCTCTTTATAAACCTCATATCCCTTTTTTGCTCCTCTACATTTCGAAACCTCCCCAATCAGAGCATTACAAGTACTAACCTGAGGGCTAAGCCCTCTAGACCTTAACATTCTAACAATCTCAATAGACCCATCAAGTTTTTTCATTTGCAAACAAGATTTCACTAACAAATCAAAAACAAAAGGGGCAGAACCACATTCATTATAAGTTTTAACCAACAATTCAAATAGTTTCATATAGGTGGGTTCATTTTCCATACCTGGGGTCCGAATTGCGACCCGAATGAGTTCCCGGGCACGGGTTTTGAGGCGGGCACGAGAGAGGATGTGAATTATGGTAGAATAGGAGGAGAGGTTGTGGTTGCAGAGGGATTTTTGCTCGGTGAAGAGGAAGAAGCGGAGGGCAAGGTGGGGATTGTTTTTGAGTTGGAGAGTAATTTGGGAAAATTGAGAGGGAGTGAAGCCGGAGGGGAACAGAGTGAGGATGTTGGACCAACGGGATTTGGAGCGGTGGTGGGTGAGGATGGATGTCACGGTGGCAATTGGATCTGGTTGATCTGACGATGGAGGCGAGGTGGTGGAGTAGGAGGAGGAGGAGAAGGAGAAGGAAGCAACGGAAGGGAGAAGTCTTGGGGTGTTGACATGGTGTTTAAGAAAGATGGCCATTGAAAACAGAGGAAAACAGAGTAAAGAGAGAAATGTTCAATTTTGATTGACTAACGGTGATTTTGTACCTCTTTCAGAATTTGACAGTGGTAAAGTAACTAATAATTTAACCCCCTTCGGGAGTCAGGGAAACTACCAGATAAGATAAGAAAAAGGGTACTAAGAAGGAAAAATTCTGCTCCCATGACCTAGCACCAGCTAGGAAAAAAGAGGGCTCTATGTTGGAGAAGCTATGGATAAACCAAAAGGAATGCACCCATTTCATGGTCTTCTTCTCCATTGTTGCTGTGCAAGTACAATGCCTGCACTAGGTGGATGTGGACAATCACTGCACAGATCACTAGCAGTTTTATTCGAATATTCCAGATATTTTTTTGTTTTTGCTCCAAAAGAAACCAACACAATAAAGAGGAAAGAAGAAACACCCATGACGTTATTGGTCACTGCACCATTGATTGTTGACCAGGATGGCACATATTCTTCACCCAATGGCACATTTTCAACAAATGTGCCGTCCTATCAGGGTAAAAATATCACCTTTCATAATGACTTGCTCTTAAAAATTTTAGTTCGAGGCTTTCAAACCCCAATTCTGAGACGAAAATAAGGTTTTTGTTATGATGCAAGAAGACTTTTATAAACACCAAGTCTCTGCCTCTCTGACCATGACTTCAGGGGATAGAGCATGACTATGACCGGGACCTAGCCAGGGCCGCCAACTGCTTCAAGTGACACAGGATAGCAAACAAAATTCTTTCTGCTCTGACTTGGTGCCTCCTTCATAATTTTGTGTCAGCCACCTAGTAAAGTTTTTATATTCACTCATTCTTACGGTTAAAATACCTTATATAGAGTTATGAAAGGAGTCTCATGTGAGACATCATATAGGGACAAATGTTTTTTATGGTCATTTCCAGTTGAAAAACATATCTTTATATTAGTTATCATTAAGTTGCTGTGTCGTCCAAGAATTGGGTTGTTTGCAGGAATAGCCTACCTAGCAGTAAAGTAAGGAAGCTTCTAAGGGAAATTCTTCTCTTGGACAATTGAATAAGATGAAGCTTTGCCAAGTTTCAACTTATCAACGTAATATTCCTTTAGCAGAAAAGGTCGTGAAAGAACAATCAAGAACTAATTGTGGTTGATTATCAAACTTAATATCATTATCTTAACCAAACTACTATTCTCCATTTCTCTTAAATTGCCTTTTAAGCGATAATAGTACTTAATTTATTAATTAAACTAAGAATAAATTCCATGTAATTGCATGCCACATCAGTATGTAGACAGATGCCAATCATGGAACTTATGGCACTCCAAGTTGAAGTTACAATCAAACAAATGGATATAAATTCTTCTGGTATAAGCTAAGGAGTAGTACATTATATCATCTGAAAGAATTTTGGAGATGATCAAAGAAAACAGCCTATGGAGAGGAATTTGTTCTTCAAATGTCATCCCTTCTGTTAAGGAGAAAAAAGAATTGCAGAAGGAAGATATCCTCTCTCCAAATCATCTTCCACATCTTGAATTCAGACAGAATTTATCTGTCAACACTATGATTCCATTTGTTCCAGCATTAGATTTGGTGACTAATCGTTCATATCCTACTTTCTATCCTCAAAAAATAATAGAAAAGAAAAAAAAAACCAATAACTACTTAATAATAGTTTACAACTTAGGATGGAAACATTCCTAGGTTTCTTTCATGAAATGCTGTTGGATGCTTTACCTATGCAAAGAGAGATTAAAATCCCAGAATACTGCCTTGATAATGTTGCTTATGTCTTAAAAAATCATCTTTTAAGATGCTAAATTCTTATTCTGTCATGGGATTCTTTAGATTTTCAGCAAGTATATGATCCCTCAGGATAAATCTTCCACTTAATCCCTTCATTATGTATACCTAACATACTCCTATAGGCAAAACACATTAGACTTTATGAAGAGGAACGAAGAATAGAGAAAGTTCCAATGAAGATAGAGTATACCACAGCTAGCTAGGTTTCCATGTATCTGAAGAAACTACCTGATTTCTGAAATTATTGGCTTGGTATAGTTATCTTGTTCTTTTGGACACATGAATAATTTGCGTAACCATTTCAATGTTACTTGATTTAGTGGATTACATAAAGTGAAAATTCGGATTCGTCTGTGGGTCATCACCCAAAAATGCCTTATGTCTGCTCTTTCCCTTCTAGATATCAGGATTCCTATCTACAATCACTTACCACCATTACCACCATCTTCAAGCATAATTCCCTACTTAGCTTCAATTTCAAGCCAAAACTACATGACCCTAATTAGAAACCTAACCATAGTTTCCAGAATCTGATCAATTGCTTTTTCTTTTATCTCTTTTATCAGAACTCAAAGCATGGTAGAATACCCTTTATAAATCACCACTTTGGGTTTGTTTCTTTGGAGTCCACTAAGCTAAAAAACAGACCATGAAATACAATGAGATTTCCCATTTCAGCCACCCCCAACACACACTAAAATTTGAGTACACTGAAGTTCCGTTCAAGTGTGATGGGTGCAAAGAATTTGGCATTGGCTCCCGCTACCGATGTTCCTTCTGCGACTTCGATCTCCACATGCACTGTGGCATACCTTCTCTCTCGATCTCTCATCCTTTCTACAAAAAATGTTCCTTTCAGTTCCTCTCGAGGCCACCTGGTGACACCCCACGTTACTGCAACGCTTGCGAAAAGGATGTCACCGGTTTCGTTTACCATTGCAAATCATGTGGATTTGATCTTCATCCATGTTGTGCGAAGCTGCCGATGGTGTTAGACGATGGAGAAGTGAAACTCTACCTCTACAGGAAGGTAAGCGCACCATGCCATCGATGTTGGCGTAAAGGGAGGAGCTGGAGTTACCGGTCTGCTTGCAAAAAATATAACTTGCATGTGGCATGCGTTAGGGAAATGCTAGTGGAGAATTGGCATGAATTGTACTACGGGCGTGGTAAGGGTACTAGGAAGCTGGAGACTAGAATCCCAAGCTTGAAAAATACCCTTCAAACCCCTCACAAGAAGAGTAAAGGTAAGGTGCAGAAGTGCTGTGAGATGGCTGGTTTAGCTCTGCAATTTGTCATATCAGCTGTGCTTGGGGATCCGACCACTCTCATTGCTGGGGTCATTGGAACATTAATGTCAAGAGGTTGAGTTCGATCGTTGGGGCTTGAAACCTTGTCTGCTTGATGCAATTTAATGTCGGGTGCCTATATAAAAATGAAAAGCCCAAAACAAAGGCCAGAATGTTTAGCTTTTAGGTACTGTGAATAAATTCCATAAGTGTTAACCCACTGCCCTGAAAATGTCATTTCTTTTGATTCTGTTGACTTATATTCTAATTAAGATCTAACTAAAGTCATCTTTGATCATGTTTTGTCAAACATTTATCCTTTCGACAAATCATGTCATGGACTGCTACAAAATTAAAAATGTTGCAATTTTGGTGTCTAACTGTCTATGCAATTGCAACCTCACCAAATGAGTTACCAACATCTTTCTCATTAAATTTACCAATTAATTTGAACTTTCGATCTTAATTAAATTTGGAAGCGTAAGTTAATCTCATTAGAAAGTTGAGAAAATAATCGAACTTTCACCGTTTATTATCTTGATCGATTATGATTTATTTTGATTATAATCAATTATCTAAACAAAATTTATAATTATCTTTCATCTATTTATTTTGTTTTATCCAAATTCAACATTAAAGAAGAAGGTTTTCACCTACAATATATAAAATTTATTAAAAAATATTAGCATAGAGACATCTCTCTATTATATCTAAAGGGCTTTTAAGTTGAAATTTTGATCATTGGTGAGTCAAAAAAGTGATGGAAAATCCCAAGTAGCCACAAAGAAAAAATGTAGCAAAATGATAAAATATGTGTAAATATCTTGTTGAATTGATTAATTATTTAATATATATTATATATTATAAAGCAAATATTTTCATTGACTAACATTGTAAATCAACAAGACGTGTGTCTTCTCCATAAAATCATTAATTTCTCCAATCTCCATAGACGAAACGGCACGTCCAAAGGAAATGGGCATTTGCAACTCGTGCGAGTCGACATCAGTTGTCACAGCAAAGCTGATCCTCCAAGACGGCAGGCTCCAGGAATTCCCGAACGCAGTTAAGGTTTCACATGTACTAGAGAGGAACCCTGATTGTTTCATCTGCAGTTCGGACGATATGGACTTTGACAGCATCCTTTGCGCCATTGGTGAGGAAGATCAGCTTCAGCTAGGCGAGCTCTACTTTGCTTTGCCTTTGAGCTGGTTAAACAGCCCTCTCCGCACCGAGGAGATGGGTGCCTTGGCTATCAAGGCAGGTAAAACTCTGAAGTTGGGCATTAGGAAGAAGTTTTGTGGGTGTGGGATTAAAAAGGTTGATCCTCTCTTGCTTCCTAACAAGAGGGTTGCAAAGTCTAGTTGCATGGAGACTAATGGTGGCAGCGACGGTGGCGCCGGAGTAGCTGCTGGTGGTGGAGTGAGGAGGAATACAAGTAGTGCCGGAAGGAGATCAGGGAGTAGTTTTACAGCAAAGTTGACAGTTATTTTGGAAGAGCAAGTTCATTGAATCGGATTGGTTCTTTGTGCGAATGTCTCAGGTAACTTGTAATATGTTCCAATATTTCTCTTCAATTGCTTTATAGAATTGTTTGATTGTTTGTAGCCAAGAACATTTGTGAAAAGGGAAGAAGAAATTTCTCAAATTTCTTTTCTCCAATCTCATTTGTTCTTCCCATGCTCTGATATAGACATTAAAATGTATGAATCTTCAAAGGACAGCCCTCCAATTAAAGAAGTGAAAGGAGTAATTTCATCTTTCATTGTCTGGATCAAACACAAGAAATTGAGAAAGAGGAAGATTTTGGAAGAAAGAATAGAGTGATGCCAACTAATTAATTTTCTAACATTTTCAAAGAAACTAATCCCTGCATGAACTCTCTTGCAAAATGAGTATGAACAAAAGCAAAATGTTTGTGACAGGATATTGATTCGCGAATATTTGTTTTTTCTTTCAAAACAGATCAATCCTTCCAGGAATAGGGTCAAAGAGGGAGAGGGATTAATTCCATGCCTTCCTTTTCGCATAGAGAAAAGAATTAAACTTTGCTTTCATAAAAATCTTACAAGGACTATGTGGTCTTCCTATTAAAATCATACCAATCTCCATCTTTAACCATTAATTAATTGATTGGTATTGTGTTGATGGAGGGATGAGGTATTCCTTTTTTCACCTTTTTTGACTTGGTTTTTTCTTAAATGTAGTAACTGATATGTAGGGTCGCCATTTCTTTAGCAACAAGAAAAAAAGTGAGGTTTGTGGGGTGTTTGTCTGAACAGGCACGCATGTGGATTATCAGGCTTAGATTTTGGGAAATTTCTTCTGAGTTTCCTCAATCTCTATGTCTCCATAGATTAGGCCTAACCAAATTAAGAACAGCACTAATGGACTGAAAAGAGAGAGGAGACTTCAACATGTCCGGAGACTTGCCAACTCATTAAGCCTCTACTCACCCTCTGATGTGACTCAAAAAGATTGCAGTTTCATAGACAAACAATCACTGTTCGTCTTTTGGAGAATGCAAAACAGAGGTCAATCCCTTTAGAACAGAAGAGCAAACGAAATTCATTCGTATATACACAATGAAAATTATATGAAAGGGAACTACTGGCTCTGAAATAACAGAAGATTTTGTCTGTTCTCAAGTGTGCCATGCATCAGTTCACCAGCAAAAGCTGTATATGGAACACACAAGCAATTAAAAGATGAAATGGTGAAGTTGAGTACTACTAATAATACATACGAGATGATAAATGCACTGATTAAAGCAAGAGAAAGACTCAAAAAGTTTTGGCTGAGATGATAAAGATCAGGAGAGACCTATCTTTGACTTTGGTACCCCATACACAAAGGCGTCATATGTTAGCTGCACTGGACGAGGATATGCTCGAGGAAACAATGGGATAAGACAGCTTTGAAAAGTAAAAGAAATTGCTAGAAGGATAAACAAAATAGCAAGACAAATGAATACTTTGCTTAGAGAAACGATAATAAATTAAGAACTCTAAGTTATTGTGACCTGTGGCCCCTGGAATCAAATGCTTATGATAGTCACATTATTAAAAAAGTTGGGCTATATGTACAATAATTAGATCAAGTTGTAATCCATGACAGATCATTTTTCACTTGACAAAGCTTTCCATGAAAACCTTGAAATTATTGGCTGAGGAACCGCCTTGACTCGTCGCCTCGAGAGCCAATCCTCTCCACTTCTTAGCATTCCTTCTCATTTCTTCCCCTTTCTGTCCATTTCCCATTACCATCTCCAAGCACCTTCTGATCTCGTCCTTCTCTGCAACTGCAGTACCTTCATTTACTTTAATTCTAATGCCAGTTTCCCATACCTCGTCTACTAGCTTTGCGTTCGTGGTCTGATCTGAAAACTGAGGCAATGCAACCATTGGCACGCCTGCAACCAAGCACTCCGTAGTGGAGTTCCACCCGCAATGCGTCACAAAACAACCTACCGCCCGGTGATTCAACACTTCAACTTGTGAACACCATGGAACAATCAGCCCTTGTTCTTCCTTTATCTTATCTTTTATCGCATTCTCGTATCCTTCTTCTTCTTCTCCATCTTTTGATGGTCGGATTACCCATAAGAATGTGTAGCCACTATCGACTATTCCATGAAAAATTTCTTCCATTTGATTCCTCGGCAATACTACCATGCTACCAAAGGAAATGTAAACAACTGAACAATCTGGCTTGGAATCCAACCAATGGATATAATAGTCATGACTAGAGTGCTCAAACAAATCACAGCCAATGAATTTGTCTGATGGAACCAAGGGTCCAATGGTGAACAAGTTTATGTTGGAATCATGAGCAAGGGTTTTGATTGCATATTCTTCTAGTGCATCAAAGGTGTTTATAAGAACACAAGGGCTAGAGTCTTTTTCCAGAACTTGAATGTGTTTTTGAAAGCTAGTCGTGACAAAAGAGTGTGGACTGTTTGGTAACAGAAAAGAAGGCAGGTCTTTCCATTCAAATGGAGGCAACCCTTCAAAGTTAATGATGCTTGGAAGGCAATTGATTTTAGAATCATAAGCACCAGTTTGGCTATTGAGGTAATGGTGGTAGATAGCGAACGAAGCACCACCATGGTTGCAGAGTAAAGCAGAAGGTATGGACAAGGCCCGAGCCACATCAGCGACCCAAGACAGCAACAGACTATATATCAAGAAACTTACCGGATGGCCTTCACCAGACAAGCTCAGTAGTAGGTTGGTTAGAGTTTGGGACCCGACATGCTCGAGTTTGGACATAATATCCTCCTGTTTGTCAGACGGAAAATTTCCATCATCGAATCCGTCAGAAAAAAAAGCATACGCTAAGCCCTCGAGAGAAGGGAAACTTTTGATTTTCCGTTGGCCGTAAATGGTGGTGGCAAAAGTGACGCGTGCACCGGCCTGTATCAGGCGCTTTGCTAGCTGGAGAGTTGGGTTTAGGTGGCCTTGGCCAGGAAAGGTTACAAGGAGGAAGTGGGGATCATCCGAATTCATTGCTTCTTCAGAATTACGGTCGGTTTTTGTTTATTTATGAGTTTATTATTGCCAAATAGATATAGTGATCGCGCAGGTGCAGGTGGAGAAAGTATAAACAGAATTCGGAAATCGTCACTTGTGGCGGTTTCATTGATTGTTCTAAAAGCATAATAGTGTTAAGACTATTGTCCAAGCCAGATCGATGTTAGCTGAGATGATAAGATCAGGAGAGACCTTTCTTGACTTTGGCACCCCACACAAATTAAGGAGTCAAGGTGTTTGCTGGCCTGGATGAAGAAAAAATGGGATTAAGACAGCTATGAAAAGTAAAAGAAATTGCTACAAGGACAAAAAATAGCAAGACACATAAATAATTTACTTAGAGAAAAGATATTAAAGACCTCTGAGTTATTGTAACCATAAGAACAAGGACCAACCAATTTCTTTCTCTATGGAAAAGCAAAAAGACCAATTAGTGTCTAGCGAATTAAAATAAAAGTAAAGTCATCCACATATGCCAAACAATGGAGATTACACTTATCATTTTAATTATTAGCACAGTCTTTGGAGATCGACTGGGGTAGGACTGGGAATCTTCATATGGTGAATGTTCGGTCATTTCAATCGGCTAAGGGACCACCTTGAATGGTTGTTGAAGGTTTGTTTTTTTTTTTTTTTTTCCGGAGGAAGAAGAATTAGAAATCTAATGCATGGCTTCTTTGGAAAAAAAAAAAAGATATATAAATTTGCTAGGAATAAAAATGAGAAATGCAATTTAACTCTTTACTATCATACTATAAGGGCATAACTCAAGACATTTTTTTAAAAATATATTTTTAAAAAATGAAATTAAATAACAGACAGATTAACAAAATTGAGATATTTTATTAAAAAAATCCTTTCGCGTTCTTGTCTCTTAATGTTCATATAACTCTCTTCTAAACTCTTAATCTTGTAGGTTGACTTCTCCACCGCTTCTAATCTACTAATAAAATTTTTTATTTGTCCTTCAAAAATAAAACAGTTACATTTTTATAAAAAGGTGGGCAAGCTGTACAATAATTCGTCCAAGTTGTAATCTATGTATATAGTGGCTGATTGACTTGTTCCCCAAAAGCAATGAGGAAAAGAAGGCAGAGCATGGTTGTAGTACTTCACTTCTGTTGGAGGAAGGCAAGATATGCAAGCTGATCACATGTCACAGTGTCCAATCTCCTGGAGCACAACATCTTTAGCAGTGCTACAGGGGTCTTGATGCATGATGATAGCACCCATTTTTGTTTTATCTCTAATCCCGTCTAATGCATAGTCATGGACACGACACTATCCTGTCTGATGTATAGTCATGGATACTATTTGGCTTTGTAGATGTACAGTGATACAAAATTTTTTGTTTTTCTGATTTATTATCGGATTTCTATCAAGTGTTTGTTACTAAAATGAATGACCAATTGGTCTATCCTTCCACTGTACTCCAGTGATTTTCGCTTTGGCTGAGAAAATAAAAAGAAGGCAGAGCGTTACTACTTATT